TGTATATTTATCTGAACTGCCCCTAAGAATTAGTAAAATCCTTCTGATAATACATGTGTAAATCTATGAGGGGAATTTCTGAAATGTACTAATACCTACCTGTGGTTACCTCAGGTATACAGAAGACTGGTCCTTTATGAGCAGGTTTAAAGAAGGAAAAATGAACTGTATGAGGTTGCCAAGAGATTTTCTTATTTCACATTCTCTCTACAATGCATCTATACATACATGTATCTGATAGTTGCACATATGTTTCTAATGCCAAATGGGACATGGGAACCTAAATACAACTGTAAGATTGAGAAGAGGACTCAAACCAACTCTGTGTGTATGTGTCTGCCCCAGTCCCAGTATTACTGATCTAGTACCTTGTGTAGCTGCCTTGGCTGCCTCTGCTTCTTCCTGTGCCCGACGCTGAGCTTCCAGAGCTTCTTCAGAAGCTTTCTTCTTCCTGTTTGGAGAAGTACTGTAAACGTTAACATTTTCAACACACACCATACTTTACATGATCATAAGTAAAATTTACTGTGTACATTTTAGATCTAAAGGCTTAGAAAATACTGTCTTTACATTTTACTATACCTGATACATAGTCAATATGTGATTAAAAATACAAAATGTAGAATGGCAAACAGTCACTGAAACATTGGCTAGAAGGCCTAGGCAGAAACACTTGTGTACAAAGAACTTCGTTACCTGGTGATTTACCAATCTCTTGAAAAAAGAAAGATTCATAGACTACCAAATTCTAAGCAAAATGCAATTCCACAACTGTACAAGGCGGGGTACAGCCATGGTGTTCTTCTGTAGTACTTACGCCTGGATTTCGTTCCACATGTCCTTGAGCTGATGATCAAGCTCCCCACTCTTTACTTTGATCAGCTCTGCCTTCAGACGCCTGGAATATATCATAGAGTCACACTGTCACAGACCATATGCATGTACATGTATATGCAGGCTTTTAGCTAGGGGGTGTCCAGGGTGTCTTTTGGACGCCCTGTACTGAAAATAATAAGAAATTGGACGCCCTACTTTTTTGTAGGACACCCTAAAGACGCCCTATTTTTTCCACTCCCAACCCTTGCCATGCACACATGCCTCCCTTCAGCCTTACTATAAATACAAAAATGATGGTTTACTGAAGGAAAAAACTCAAATTTACACCTGAAAATGCAGAAAGTAGTGTTTGAGAGCATTATGAATTTCAAAAAAGCCCCCCTAAAATCTTGCACTCAGCATGTCTTCACTGTGCATAGCATACAATAAAAAAAAATGGACGCCCACCAAAAAAATCCTAGCTAAAAGCCTGTGTATATGACCGTACATGTATAATAGCAAAATAGTGTGGCTCTCCTTAAACACAGGACCTCTGGCTTTACTTCCCATCTGATGTCTCTAACCAAAGCTAGTTACTCATTTAAAGGAGGCTAAAGAGAGAAACCTCATTGCTTATACATGTAATTTTTTTGAGACAGGTTTAAAGTGCCTTCATAAAGGGCACAACAGTGAGACCTGCTACAATTTGACTATGTTTAACTTGATTGTCTTACCTGTAGTTCTGTTGGTCTATTCGCACTAGTCTCTTCAGCTCCTCTATTCTCTCCATGGTTAACTTCCGTGCAATCATCTCACAATGAGACTCCACCTCACCCTGGTTACCTCGCTTTCTCCTGTAGATAGTACAAGAATGTCCTCAAAATAAAATTTTCACTGTAAAAAATTGATGGGCAGGCTCTATGTATACCTACAGCTACATGTAGGTCAGTTTACATGATTTTGTTAACTGTTCATTTGATGATACCTGTAATTCTAATTGTAATTGTATGAGCTTTGAAATGTTACAGCTGGAGTCCCTGACTAGGTATTGCTAAGAAAGTCCAAACTTAGGACTTGGGCATTACAAAGTCCAAACTTAGGACTTGGGCATTACAAAGTATTCTGCTAGATTACTTTTGATACATAAGTAATGATAACATTATATGACAATCACAAATTATCAAGATTGTAAAATACACAAAAACTTTTACTTGCCTAGCAACTGTATGACTTCAGAAACAGTGGATACTCACTTTGGTGCCTCCACTTGTTCCAATAGTGTAGAATACTGAGATGCACAGTTCTGTACAGAAGAAAATTAACAAACAAAAAATGTACTAGTGTTGACTTTCTCTTTCACTCTAGTTTTGTATATATATGATTACTAGAAAGACCATTACAACACTTCTCACAGAGAGCTGATTTGTGTGGAATATGAAGTTCATACATGTACATGTATATTGAGTTCATACAGCAATAAACCTGAGAGCAGGAGATTGTGTAACACAGGATACTTCTCTACCTACCTTCTGGGAATAGAAGTCTGGTGGTCTCTGAAGACCAGGTTCAGCTAAAGGTTTCACAGCTCTACTTACAGATACCCTGGAGCAACGAAAATATATTAAGTTCACAGTTAACATACAAATTACAATGGACTTGTCGATAGGGGTGGGTACCGGTTCAGTCGGACCGGTTTGGACCGGAACAACATTCAAGAACCGAGTCCAAAAAACCGAAACGTGAAAACCGGATGACCGGACCTGATGTACATTTCTGTAGATTGTACACACAACACACACATCTTTAGATAATCTGGCCATGGCAGGTAAAAAAAATAACCCTGAATCATACTAGATCAGCCTAAATCCATGTTTATGCGTTCAAAAACAAGAAAAAAAATGTTTCCCGGTATTAATCTCTTGAAACACGGCGCTGAATATTGACGCAAAAACATTTCGTGCACGGCGAGCCCTCCCCCATTGTTCAGACTGTGACGCAATCCCGCGTCACTTGTTGGCATTTCGCATCTCTGATTGGTTGTTGCGCCCGCTGCTGGCAGCGTAGCGGCAGACTTGAGCGAGCCGACGCGCGTGTAAACAACTTTTCTTTGTTCGATATCGGCGCTAAAATTCTATTTTCCACAACCACACATCGATATTCTAGTGAAGAAATGCATAGTTTCAAGAATCTTTGGGGAAAATATATGCTTCTATGCGGATTTTTAGCGTTTTCGACGTGATTTTGTCGTCACTTAACCCGGAAGTGTGGACCGCGGCGTGGCTAAATTTTTAGCGTATTTTACCCTGCGTTTTACCAATCAAAACAATAAACAACCCCCGCTAAGAGAACCCTGTAACATTTTAGATCGCAGCAATTAAGTATTTGATCAGATTACTTGTGGATGTGTTGGCATTTCAGCCGTATTATTCGTTGAGAAAAGCGACCTCATGCACGGCCGTGTCGTGTACACCAAGAAATTGTGTCTCGCTTGCCAAAATATGATATACTATTACTACTGTACAATAATCAGGTCCGGTTTCAGGTCCAGACCTGGACCTGATCCTCTGAACCTGATCCGGACCTGGACCTGAATTTTCTATACCGGTACCCACCCCTACTTGTCGACTTGCATCTTCAATACTAGATACAATGTACATTCATACAGCCCCCCAACTGTACACATTATCCTGCTAGTATGTCCACAGTCGGTTCACTGCTCATTGTGACCGCTTTTTGTCAATCACAGGCACAAGCAATGACTTTTTAAAAGTTTTTGGTCTAACATCTTGACATCGACTGACTTAACCACACGCAGCCCACACTATGCCAATGACGACCGGGTCATTTCAGGGTGTGGAGAGACTGTTGACAACCGTGTGAGTAAATTTTATGATAACCAGGTTGGAAATCATGGTGAAATTGGCCAGTATGTGAATTCAATGTTCAACCCACATTAAAAGACCATGTTAACAATTTGCAATAATCATATGTTATGGTACATCATGAGAGAAACTAAATAAATAATTCTTCCCTACCAGTTCTGATCCCCACTTCTGAGCACAGCTGATGCCAGACATAGCTGTTCTCTCAAGGTCCACTTGTCCTGGGGGTTCTGCATCTTCAGTTCTAGAGGAAACACAACAAAAAGCTTTATCAAGATTCTTCTTCTTTCTGTGACACGTGTACCACCAAACACTAAAATGACCACTTGCCTACAGTTTGTACATTTGCAACTAATGTCATACCTCTCAATAACCATCTACCTATCAAATCTCAGTAGATGATAATTAACTTTTGAACTGATATGCTATACTGTATACATGCAGATCTCTGCTGTTAGATCTCTGCTTAATTTCTCATAATTTGTATAAATCATGATTTCTTATTTTGATTCTGGTCTTCGTCTTCTTTGATTTGGTTCTTTATTTTGCAAAGCACGCATATTCATAGCGGAATAATTGTGTGCGAAGCTTATATCTCACATTTGAAAAAAATTTTGAGAGCACGATAAGAAAGAACACACTATAAATTATAAATTTCGTGCACGCCCCCCCCCCTTCTCACCCATGTTTCTTCTAAGGTTTCAAGCACTCTGAAGGGGTACGTCAGACGTGATAAAATATGCTGAAGCAACCATACCTATAATCTAGAATCCTGGAGAAGTAAAAGCTAAAGCTAGATGTGAATATACAGCAAATTCAGGAACAAAGAGCCTGGCCATGAATAGATATCACTCACTGTGTTGAGATGCCGCCATGATGATGATGACCGGGATGAACAACACAGTATGAATACGCTACAAACCAAATAGGGCGTAATTTACCATTTTGTAACATCCGAATGACCTTGCCAAAGGAATGGAACGCAACAGTTGATAACAAAATAATAAGTGCTGACTAAAAAATTCTACCAATCATTTATATGATGTGGACATTGATTTCTCTAACGTTACAATATGTTTGACGGATTTGTATTACTCCGCTAAATGCTGCAAGGTGGTTCTGGAGCCGATCTGCAGTTCAGAAAGCTCACGCACGAGGTCGTATCTTTAGCAGATGTTGGCAGCGGAGATGTGGAAATCTTCTTGCTATCGAGCTTATAATAGATAGCAACTGAAGCAGTTCTTCCAAACATTTTGCTTGTGAAACCATGAACGTTTATTTCGACCATCGCAAGCAAACACATGCCTTGCATTGGTTGAGCTGAGTGCTATTTAG